TAACAAAAAACGAGATCTAATAAGAAAATTAGTTTGAAATATAGTTCAAAAAACATTCATGGTTTCTAAAATATTGATGTTGACTATGAATAACCATATAAAGTTTTAATAGGTTATACAAATTTCTAAACCAAACATATTATTTAAATTTACAAAGATTAATACCTTGGTTGCGTCTGGTTGAAAATTAACAAAGTTAAATACTACACAAGTAACTTTACATTCAAAATATAATAAGTAATAAAGTCTGATTTGTATACATATTTACTGCTTATAACTTAGTCAACATGAACAACACATGAACAACATCCTTTAAAATTTTATTCAAATAATATAATATGACAAAGTTATGAATCAAATTCAAATGAGAATATATGAAGATAAAATATTCAAATCAAAACATGAATAAACACACAAAAGATAAAAAAAAATCAGTGATAATGTGAAGTCTCAACATAATCTTACATGTTTAAAAACAAATATTAGCAAATAGTTGACTACAAATAAATCATATCTTATAAACTGAATAGAGATATAACCTAAAATTCGTAAAAGATCTGGTGGAGAAGCAAAAAGCAGCTTTACACGATTAGTGTAGCTTACTAACAAAAGTAAATCTGAATCAACATATATCATATATTATATATGTATATGTATACAACATTAGTGAGACATTTAGTAAAGAAACTAAATATTTAAACATATAAACTTTTTTTTAAAAAGAATCATAGAAATCTTAAGAATACAAAACAAAACACTAAAAATTTAGTAAGAAAATCATTTTTTAAATCAAACATATGCACATCGAAGTTGGATAATTCGTTAGGTATCATTACTATTATTTTACTTTATAATTTTATAAACAAAAATAGAAAATACTACATATTGTGTTTTAATTTTATTATATAAAAGAAAATTTTTATAAATATATTATAGCTTTGATAATGTAAAAGATATTAGTCAAAAAATTAAACCAAATTATTAATACAGACTCGCGCGTAGCGCGAGTTAAAAGTCTAATTAATCAAAAACGTAATAACGATTAAGGTGACAAATCAAATTTTGATTTCTACCAAAATTTGTCATGGTAATTTTTTTTATATTATAAGTGCTTTAAATGACGTGAACACTTGCTTTAGAAGAATTAGTATGAATTTTGGTCTATATGATCTATCTGATTTTTTTTTTTTTCAAAATGGTCTATACATGTCTTATTAACCTTTTAGAAAGGGTTATCTACAATTTGAGTTTTTTTTTATTATTATTCTTGTTGTTAGATACTTAGATATAATCAAATTTAATTATCCTCTAAACAATGTAAATCATTTCAAGTTTCTAAATTAAATTTGGTTGCCAAGAATAAAGAAAATCCACAAATTTAACCAAAAGAAAATGCTATAATGTAAGGAAATTTAAACCGTTAACCAGAAAAACATTCAAGTATGGATCCTCTACATATTATTTGAGAAGTAACATTATTGAAAATAGCTGATTTATCAACACTACATCCAAAGTTAGTGCTTTTAACTAATGACATGTATATGTGACATGTCAAACTTTCTAAAATAAATGAAATGTTTTGATTGGTTAAATTAAAATTATAGAAATTATGGAATAAAAACATAAATAAACTAGATTATATTTATAACAAATTTATATTAACAGAAAATAAAGTTATTATAATTTCAATTTCTTACATATATTCATAATTTCAAAAAATATAATTACGAATTTTTTTAACAATATATATATATATTATAATTTCAAATAAAACAAAAAAATATTACTAAATTATCCAATAGAATAATAAAAATTCTATTTATTAATAATACTTGAAGTGTGATATATTTTTATTTTGGAAAGTTATTAATTTAAAAAATATATTAATAACATCTAAACAAGTTTTAAATAAACAAATTATTAAATAATACAATTTTAAATAAAATACAATCATGGTAAAAATAATTTAAAGAATAAAATGTTAAAAATAATAAAAATAATCAACTTTTTTTGAATTCTTTTTTTAAAAAACGTAATTTTAAATAATTTTTCTTTTCAAACCAATATTTACTAAATGAATAAAGTATATACTAATTATTATTTTATAATATTAATAGGACCATATATTTTTCTATAACTTTTATCATCTTTTTATTGTTGTTTTCTAAAATGTACATAACTTATGTTACAATCTCATCTTATCTCTTATCATATTTTAAATAAAAGTAAATTTTATATCATATGTATATATATACATAAATTTATTTTCATTGTTTATCAAAATTTTGAGAACATAAATAAAATAAAAAATAACCGAGCGAAAGAATAAATTATAATAAGATGAAACCATACGAATAAGAAATAAAAATAGAAGTATTTAAAAATAAATCTCTCGCACTTTGTTTTACAAAGTCACTTAAAAATTTTTAACACCTAAGAGCCATATTTCAATTTTTTTACAAATACGCGCACAGACATAAATATTAATTGTACATTAGTTGAAGTCACATGCGAACTTTTCCGTGCATGTATTTTGTTAAGATTGATTACAGACTATTTTTTATTTTAATTATTATACAAATTATATTTTTTTAAAAATATTTATCTATTCTAAGTGTAGTAAAGTGTTTGGTATGTCCGCACATGCGTGCTAACCATCTATCCGCTCTTAAAAATAAGTAAAAATAGTAAAAACTATTTCAGTTTAATTTGCAATAAATCAAGAAAAATATACTTAAAAATATATTATATATGTATTTGTAAATTCATATTATGTAAGACGCAAAAAAACATATTGTATATTGTGTAAGAAAAATAAAGCATATTATAGAAATATTCAAAAATATTATAAGAATTTAATTATTATTTAACATAACTTTTATATTTGTGATTATATATTATTACAAGCATTAGAAAAATAAAGTTTTTAAAATACATTGGTTTCAGAAAGAACTTTGTGAAATATTAAAACAATATATATACAAACATACTAATGTTTAAAAAACTAATTAATATTTAAATATTACAATTAACAATGTATATAAAAAAAATTATATCCGCACATATGTGCGGGCAACCACCTAGTTTTAATTTATATTGAGAGAAAAGAAAACATTATACTTTTGTGCAAGTAAATAAAACTAAATAATTAAAATACGAGTTATATATTTTATAGAAATATGTATTAAGACATTCACTAATCAAAAGCATCTCTTTTTTTTTTCTGTCACAATACCATATCTTCCATAAGATGTTTTTTTTTTTTTTGATCTCCTACTTTTATGAAAAACAATATCAAACAATTATCTGATTTTTAAAAATATATATTCTGATAATATATAGACATTAAATAATTTAGAATTTTCCTTTAGTTAATCATATAAACTTTCATTTTTTTAGATTTTCGTTGATATTTACACTAAAGATTTTCTTTTCTTTTATTTTTTGGTTTTGATACAAAGTTTTATTTTTTGTTTGACATGCAAAGTTTTGTTTGTTTATGGTTTGGATACAAAATTTCTACTTTTTTCTTATATAAAGTTTCTTCTTTTTATTTTCTTTTTTCTTAGTAAAATATAAATTTATATTTAAATTGAATAAATTCTTGATTAACCAACTGATTTACAATCAATAATTTTAATTATAAACTGAACCGGTGTTTTTCATTTAATACTAATCACTGATTTATTATTAAAATCAAAGATTGACAAAAACTACACTGAAAAAAAACAAAAAATAGACTATACCACAATCTTTTTTTTCTTGAACTTTGTGTTATATACCACAACCTTCAGAAGCTTCTCTAATACTAACAATAGTGCAGGAGGGGAAGCCGATGGTGTAAGTGGTGGAAGGGAAATGTCTTCCTCTCTCGTTTTTTGTTCACCAGTGAAAAGTCCATTTTATTCAATATTATTGGTCGAAAGTTCAATACTCATTTTAATAACTTAAATTCGATTTATAGAAAGAACAAAAATTAGTAGGTTTAAAGAGAGATCTTTATTAAAAATAAACCGGAGTTCGAGAAAGTACACAGTGATTTTAGATCGTCGGAATAAAAACGCCCCCTAAAATATTAAAAAAAAAGAAATTCAAGATATGATTTTCGAGATCTTTATTAAGAAACAGTTGAACATTGAAAAAAACTGCCTACATATCTTTTAGAAGGGATCAAGCCAATCATAATTCGTTATAAGAGAGTTAGATAGACGAAATTTAGAAAGAATTATGTCTTCTTCAAGTGTGAAGATTCTTGGATAATTGAAAGATATTCTGAAAAGTGAATGACTTCTTTATTTGTAGCCCGACAAGGTCGATATTCTAGAGAAAACTTCTCCTATTGAAATAAGAAAACTTCCTTCTTGATAAAGTCAAAACTTGATCAGACTTGTCGACCTAAATATTCATTAGGATTTTGAAGTAAGTCTATTTCAATTGACGTGAGTTTTTAGAGAGAATATAAAACCAATCTCTAACACTCATTTTCTTTAGAAAAAGAAAACAAGAATTTTGAGTATCTTTCTTACTTTAATAAAGAGCAAGATTCTAATCAAGATTGTGAATAAAAAGAAGAATTTGATCAAGGTCAAGCTCTCGAAACTGCAGCTATATGTTTTTTTTTTCAGCATGAATGTCTTTCTCCAACTGCCATGTGAAAATTCATTCTTAATACGGCGAAAGTAACTACTATCATAGTTTTTCGAACATATTCAAAACAATATATATTTTATCAAATTTAGAAGCAATAAAAAAACAAAATAAAATATTAATATCACATGTTTCTAAATTTGATAAAATATTTTAGAAAGATGTTAAGATTATAATTTGATAAAATGTTTCTATAACTAAAATATTTTATCTATACTTCATGTTTTACTTATTAATAAAAAAAAAATATTAAAATAAAATATACAAAGTAGCAAAAAGAAACGAAAAAATACAACAATATTTTATTTTTTATCTTTTTCTGATCGGTCTGAAATTGAAAAAATGCAAAGAAAATAGAAACGAAAAGCTTATAAGCAAATCAACAAAACTTTTATTTTAAGAAACAAAAACCAACAAAACTTCCCCAACTTCTCTTCCTAAAGCAGGCTAAGTACCAAAATGTCAGATTCAATTCACCGGAGAAAAATAATGTCATCGGATCCAAGCCGAGGCCGGAGCTCCAGGACCAGACGTACGGCGAAGCACAAAGTCTCCCGTCGTATTCACAGTAAGATTCGTTCAAAGTCTAGTAAAATCCTCTATCGAAGTTTCTCGGAGCCGAATCTCTACCAAATCATCGCTTTTGAAGATGATGATCGGCGTTGCTCTTCGCCGATGATAGATCTCCCGGCTGAAACACCTGAGCAGATCGTTTATCTGTCTAAGATCCGTTCGGAGGTTTTCGCTTCAGCTCCGTCGTTGTCTGGATTCTCTTCGCCGTGTTCTTCTTCTTCTTCTTCTCCGATTAACCAACAGGTACATCATCAAATGAAATTTCTTACTTAGTCCTCCATGTTTCAAAGTTTATACTATTAGACCCAATATTTAAGATGTTACAAACTAACCCATCGATTTCACTGTTTTAGTCTTTTAGAGATAGTCCTTTTATTAAGCAACAAACTTTTTATCTACGGTACTGTAGAAGTATAACTATGTAAATCATTCAGTCCTTTAATTTCATTCAATTTCAAACATTTTGTCTTGAGAAACATTTACGCACTATAAGAAAGAAGCAGAAAGATTCTGAATATTCATTGGTTATGTTTCTTTGATTCCAAAACCAGGTTAACAAGAGAGAAGCAGCAAAAGTTGTGATCAATGTATCAGTAGAAGGAAGTCCAGGACCGGTAAGGACTTTGGTTAGACTGAGTTGGAATGTTGAAGAAACGATCAAGATGGTCGTGGACAAGTATCGTAAAGAAGGACGAACACCGAAACTCGATAAAGATCTTGCCTTTGAGCTGCATCAATCTCATTTCAGCATCCAATGTAAGCTCCACAACCCAAATTTGCTCCACCGGTTATATAGTTGAGAAACAGAACAAAAGCTTGAAAATTTTCGAGCTATTAAGGTCAAAATGTAGAATAAAAGTAGTCAAATCTCTTAGGTATGTTCGATGTGACAACCATTAACAAAGTTTTGGATTTTACTAATCTGCAGGTTTGGAGAAAACCGATGTAATTGGTGAAATAGGTAGTAGAAGCTTCTACATGAGAAAGAAAGAACCTGAAAACAAGATTACGATGAGAAGAAATCTCCCGTCATCGAATTTGATCGAATCGTTCATAGCGCAGAAGATTGGGAGAATTGTGAGGAGGACGAGGAAGATATGGAACATTTTAGTATGTGCTCAGTGAACAACAAAACCGGTTTGAAGTATTAACAGATTGTATTGTTCTAGTTATGTTTTACGGTTTGAGCGGCACATAATATTTACTTGTGTTAGCTCTACAATTGGTTAACTTCTTTGTTGTATATATTTACTTTTTAACTTACAACATAGATATATTTACCTATATGCTATAGGTATATATATATATATACATATTTGTCAATGTACTCTACTTCGATTCGAGTTTCTTTCATTTTTTAAATATGAAATCCGAATTGTAACTCAATTATAAACATGTGATTGTGATAATTTTGTTGGTTGGGTTTATTACTTTGATTTGGTTCTCTTTATTTTTACTTAGGATTTTGCTAATTTGGTGCTGATGTAAAAAGTTAAAAACGGATGTATTTCGGTTCTATTGGTTTCGTTGGGTCTGGTTTACTCTTTAAAAAACTCCCTAAATGGCTAAATAAAAAAATCTTTTTTTTTGTTCAAAAATAAAAATACCTTTATATACATTTGTTTTTGTACAGAAAACCATCATTATTTTAATCACAGGATATGCTTTTTTAGTGAAGGATATTCTTATATTATACTTTTATTGCTGTCAAAAAATATTTATAGTATTCAAAGAAGCATGCTTGGTCGGTTGACTCAGTTCATGTAGGACCGCCCAAAGAAATATAATCAAATCAAACCAATGGAATATAGTCACAGACCATAAATAAAAAACTCGCAGTTATTTGATTTTGAGTACCATTCACATTACTCTTAAGTGTTTTGTTTTTTTTTTAAGAAAAAAAATCAAATACCATTCACATTACTCTTAAGTGTTTTGTTTTTTTTTTAAAGAAAAGAAATCAAAATGTCAAAAAACCAAAAAGATGTTGGTTTCCAGATTTGTATTAATCGCTCCAGTTATTATACAATAAAAAATGGATTCAAAAGATATAGAAATATTAGTTTAATGGATGAAAAAAAAGGTAATGGATTTTGACTAATCTGTATCTCAAGCACGATCGTTGATTACTGTTTACTTGCATGCAATGATTAATTTTTATTGTAACTAGTATATAATTCGTGCTATGCGTGAATCTGTATTAATATTTTGGTTTAATATTTTTAGCTACTATCTTTAAAATTATTAAAAATATAATATATTTATAGAAATTTTTATTTATATAAAAGAATTTAATATATAATATGTAATTTATCCTATTTTTATTTATAAATTTTTAAAAACTATTAAGTAAAATAATAACAATGACATCTATCGAATTATCTAATTTTGACGTACATATACATTTGATTTAGAGAAATATAACCTTGCTAATATTTTGGTATTATTTTTTATTTTTCATAGAATTTTTATAGTTCTTTTTTCTTGAAGATTTATGTGTTCAAATATGTAGTTTTTTTATTAAAAGTTTTATTGATCTTGTGTACTACTACATATATAATCCATAATTCATGTTGATTCGCATTTAGTTTTGTTAGGAAGCTGTAATGATCATACAAAACCTTTTTTTTCTTCTTCATCATGTATACCAAGAGTTTTATGTTATACTTTTATTCAGTTTTTATTATTTTAATTGTTAAATAGAGTTGTTGTAGATTTTTTTAAATTGATAATGGTTACTTTTTAAAAAAAATATGTATTGTTAATTGTTAATTTGTATTTAACTTTTAAAATTTTAAACCATATTAACATTTTCTGATTTAATAAATATGTTGATTTGGATCAATCAGATTGAATTTACTTTTTTCCTTATTTTTCATTATTATATATTTAATAAATGTGTTAATTTGGATCAATCAGATTGAATCAGATCATGCAAAACTATTTTTTTCCTTCTCCATCATGTATACCAAGAGTTTTATGTTATATTTTTATTCAGTTTTTATTATTTTAATTGTTAAATGGAGTTGTTGTAAATTTTTTTAAATTGATAATGATTACTTTTTAATAAAAACATGTATTGTTAATTTGTTTTATTTAACTTTTAAAATTTTAAACCATATTAACATTTTATGATTTAATAAATATGTTGATTTGGATTAATCAGATTGAATTTACTTTTTTTGTTGGATATAATTTATTAAATTAATTTTTAATGTTTTAGTTATAGTTAATAATTTTCGGTTTGATTAAAAAACTGATATGGACCAATTAAATCAAGTTTTTTCGTTTTAATCATATTTAACATTTTTTATTTAATGAATATGCTGATATGAATCAGTCAGATCGAGTTTTTTAATCCTATATGGACATCCTCAGTGGACTATACCTTCAATTTTTATATATTATATGATGAAAACAAAATCAAAATTATTTTTTGTCAAACCATATCAAAATCAGATTGTGAGTCGTTGAGGCTAATGTCAAACTTCCAAATATGCTTCAAATGGGAATATCAATATTTATCAATTTGCATCAGGAATATATAAGTAGCTTTTATCCAACCAGATACAGTGGGATTTTAATAGTTTTTATAAATTATTTTCTTATATATTCGGTTTAGAGTGGACCTTTAACAATTCCCAAAGCTTTGACCAAAAACACCATATAGACGCAATTCGTAACTCGTGTTCGACGACAGAAAGAGGCGGCGACGGCGGAGAGTGAACGTCACAGCACGGCGGAGGATGGGCGATCTACTCGATTGGATCATCTCGTTCCTATTCCTCGTTACCCTTCTCATCATCGTTATTTACCAGGTTGGTTTTTCTCCTAATAATTTTTTTGGTAAAAACAATTAAACTGTAGTTTAAAAACAAAGCAAATATTTTTTTTCTTTGCCATGTTATTGGATTTTTGCTTAGTGATTCTGGGTTTGAAGTTTTGGATCAGTTAATACTTTTATTAATTTTGTAAACAAAGTAATTAATTTTTTTTTATGCAGCTGACATGTTTGGCGGATCTCGAAGCTGATCACATAAACCCTTACGATTCATCTACCAAAATAAACCGAGTTGTTCTACCGGAATTCGGTTTGCAAGGACTTCTTTGCTTATATTATGTCTTAACCGCGCATTGGTTCATGGCGGTTTTGTCTCTTCCTCACCTTTTCTACAACATTAGACTGTAAGTAAATTATTCACTCATCATCATATTGGTCAATTTTCGAAGTTAATCGGCAAATCGGTCCAACGAATCCGGTTTAACTCTATGGTGTCTTTTTGCTATTTCGGTTAAAGATACATGAACAAGGAACATTTGGCGGACGTGACAGAGATGCACAATACAAATAAATGGGAGCAAAAGAAACGAGTTTACAAGATTGCTCATATCTCTCTCTGCATTTTCATCACATCGTATTGGTACATTTTTATATCTTAAATCACTAGTAATTTCCATATCTTCATATGTTTTCCAAGCTAGATCATAATTATTGTTTACATTATTTTTGGTTGAAAAGGTTGATACACTCGGCACTGGGAGACATCTAGGGTTGGAGAAATCATCGGAATTTCATATATTTTTGTTTTTACAATTTTAAGAACGGATTCGTAATGGATTTTGTTGACTACGCCAAAAATCTGTATGTAGTTCATCTTCTTATGACTTTTGTTCCTTTTGGCATTCCTTTTAGTTAACGACAAACGATGATTAATGATCTATTTTTGAATTTGAGGGAAATTCATTGTGGACTATATTCATTTAGTTTTTTTTTTTAAAAAAAATTTGTTAAGTTTTACTTTATTCACGAACTTGTTGCGTTTCATAAATCCCGGAAAATCGTAACGCCTACTCTCCTTTAACTCCTGTTTTAAAAAAAATCGTTACTTTTTGGTGCCCTAAATTTTGGAAGAATCTGTTTGAATTTCGGTGTAAGATTTTAGGTTAAGCCACGTACGATTGTTGAACTATGTTGTGCATTATTGAAATCTTAGTTATGTGTTTATTGTTCAAATCGGTCCGTTTCTTGTTTGCTCTACAAGATATATTGCTTCCGTGAATTAAATGATTAAAAGTGAGATTATGGTAGCTTGTGTGTGAAACATTGAAACTAAAGTTAGAATAGTGGTTAAGTAAGAAGTTATCTCGATGGGTTGATCTGTTCTTGACTGTGATGATACTTTGTAAATTTTTTGAAACTCTGAATTGATCCTTAGATTTTAGGGTTCTAGGCTAAAGTTCTTCCTTCGCAATCTCGTGTTGTGAACAGCCATCGAACTATAGATGTTATTTTGTAGATATGTCAAGAAAACTTTGATGTATTTAGAGAGATGTCTGATCTGGTTCTTGAGCTACAATAGGGAGTTCCAAGAAGCGGTTCATGTTTAACATTAGAAACGCTGAAATCTGGACTTCCTCCAAATTCGCTTTAGTCCATAACCTTTTGTGTTACTCATAGCGAAACATGGTTCATTGTAACTCAGTTTATGCTTTTGAAGCCAACTCAAAGAGTTTTTGTATCGGCTACTTAACAGACTCAGTCTCAGATCGATCCTTACATGAATGGGTATATGGATCATTTCAACCGGTTTAAGTACAGACCGAATCGAACATCTGGATGAACCGATACATGGATTCGTGCTTGATACAATAATAACAGACAAAATGACGCAGTTTCAACAAAATTTAAGGAAACAAGATGATTTAATCCGAATAAACAAGATAGAAACGGAAATTATAAGACCCCTAAAACCCTAAGAAAAGCTACAAGTTTAGTAGAACCCTAATTTGGAAAAACCAAACACAACTCAATGACGGAGAATACAGAGGAAGATTTGACATTTTCAAGTTAAATTAACGTTAATATCGGAAGACTTGTTTCTTGGATCAGAAGCTAAAGAAGCCTGCCATGTATTATTGATCGGAAGATGCGATACAGAGTGGATTGTCCGATGATCAGCCGCGCTAGAGATCGGAATCGCAGCGGTTGGAGTCGTCGTCAACACGAAATCGTGTTTGTTCTTTTTTGGTTTCTGATCTTGCTGCTGGTCCGTACCGGCTAAAAAACTTCCTACAACCACCTGTTGATTCAAACACACGGAATGTTCCGGTTTAAGAAATGTACATGTTTTTTTGGACTTGAAACAAATCGGAAAATTAAGGGAGAAAATGGTTAACCTGAACCGGACTCGAAGCTACTAGTAAACCGGCGACACTACCGCCTACCACACGCCCGTCAGGACTTGCTAACGATACGCTCATTCCTCCGGTTCTACTCCTAGTTCCGCCTATGTCGTTAGGCATGAATGAACCGGACAATGATAAAATCTCAAACCGGCCCTGAAAAAAAAACACTTTAAATCATCAATAAAACTTATCTTAAAATCATTTACAAATAAATTTAATCGATAAGATCTAATTACATACTTCGTATGTCAATGTGCCACCAGAGGAATCAGGCTGACGAAGTGTTACGCTTGAAATGACACCGTTTGCTGATAAAACGCAAATGGCACGAGGTCCTTGTTGTGAAAACGAGATTATCTTCATTGTTACATCCTAATCGAACCAAAATATATATATATATATATATATAACTCAAAATCTCGGTTTAAGATTATAAAAAAATAAAAAAAAGTAGACCGGATCTTTAAAAAAAATAAGTTCCGATCAGCTTACCTCACCGGCGTTGACCGTGATTATATGAGGTGTAAAATTACCACCGACGGAGCAAGGAACCCATTCACCTACACAAAAGACAACACAAGAACCAAAACTCGTTGATATATACTAAAACAACTTTCCACTTTTCTTAGTGTTTATTTGTTTATTTATTTTTGTAGTTGAGCCGAGATTGAAATTAGAAATCTCTAAATGTGACGTTGACGACTAAAATAGTTACCAATTTAAGCTTAAAGAAGTGATAATCAAGAACAAGAGCTTGACAGATATGTGTAGATACTTATAACCATAGGGCACATCGATAAGCATAGACAAATTAAACATAAATACAAAAACGAGGAGTCCTGTTTATATGCTAACTTGCTAAGAGGCCCCACTTAAATAAAAGCATGCGTTAAATCCCCAAAATTAACCCAGAAAATCCCAAAAGACAATTCTTAGTCACGAGAGAGTCAGATTAGTTTACGAAACTAGATTCCGACAAAAAAAAAAATTAATAAAATATTTTCTATTTTGTGCTGAGAAACTAAGGAGGAGAAAAAAAAAAAAGAACAGAGCAAAGACGATTTACCTAAATTCTCGACTTGGTGATGATACTTTGTTCTGTGAAAAGAGTTTGTTGGCTTCACTTTGCCGCGTTTTTCAGAGGCGGAGAAATCGATGACATGTGAACTCGTCGGAGGATGCGACGGCGCCGGCGCCGATGAAATCGGCTTTGGAGATAACGCCACAACCGTCCCGTCCGGTCCGTACTTCCTTGGCCGTCCACGTTTCTTCTTCATTGAGCCGCCGGAGATACCTTCCATCATCGTTGTCGTCGCCGTCGAAATTAACGGCGGCGGAGCTACTCCCGCGAACTGATTCGTGTGATGAGACTGTTGTGGAGGACCGACGGAGTTAGGAGATGGATTTGAGCTTTCTGATCTCGGAGCTACGTGAAAATCGGACGGAGAGTCGGATCCCACCACCGTAATACCGCCGCCGTTACTGGCGGATGTTGACCTAACCACTTCTCCGGTAGACTCCATATCTGAAACCATTAGCTTTTTCTTTTTGCCTTCTATTTTTCAAAAACGCATGTAGATTTTGGGTTTTAATTAAAGATAAACTAAGATTTAAGAACACAAAGGGAAAAATTAGCAAATAAATATAATTAAGATCTAGAACAAGAAAATCAAACTGAAAATATAAGGGACCAAGGAGTTGTTTTTTGAAGAAAAAATATACTAGAACAGAGCTTGGAAATTAGGAAAATGTTGGAGATGAAAGTGGGGGAAATTAGATTTATTTATGCTATGTGATTTTGATGAGAAAAAAATTATAGAAATGGGGTGTTTCGTATTGGAAATATTGACATTAAATAATGGTTATTTTTCTTTTTTTTAATAGTGGGTTTATTTATATTGTAAGATTTGTTTCATGCTTTCAGCTAATTTCCAACGTAACTTTTTCCATGTCTGCCCATTTTATATTAATATTAAATAAATAAAATAGTGGTGAAAAGGAAATGTTTAATAGCGTGTTATATAATATAACTCAAAAATCAAAATGGATTTATATATTAACTTTTTGGAATATATAGATATTCGTGTTTTTAGCTGGAATCCGATGGAGGGGATTAATAAAATAAAAAGGTGGTAAGGTAATAAATAGTATAGTAGACAAAACAATAAAGTAGGTACCAAAAAAAAGAATACTATTTGTTTTAATAAGAAAAATGTAGAAGACAAGTATATCTATCGTTTTATCTTAAGAATACTTTTTTTTGTTTAACTAGATTTTAGAATACTATTCTTTCTGCCGTGGATTTTTTTCAAAATATTCAGTTTTCGGGTTAAAACGTTTTCCTTCATTAAATAATAATCGAGCTTTGGAGTAAAAGACAAGTAAAACTAGGCTACTAAAATGATGAACAAATATATTATACTGGAAATATTATAAGTTTATCTATCACTTACAATTAAAGAAGTCCAGATGCAAGAATGACAATTACATGGGGCCAGCAATAAGCCAACAACATTTATAACATACCAAATTATCAATTCTCATAACTATTCATGTAACTAAACCATATATTTTCCCCTGTTTTACAAAAAATAATATTTTTTTATACAGAGTGTTATTTTATATTTTTAATGTAAAACTTTAAGCGAAAATTCAGTTCTAATGTTATTATACGAATTAAAAAATAAATTTTTTTAATATATTAATAAAAATGAAAAATAGTTTGTTAATATATGTTAAAGACAGTAAAATAACAGTTTTTACAAAATATAAAAACATATATTAATAAAAATTATATATTAACATAGTTTTCCAAATTTGGAGTTATAAATACAAATCTATATGACAATTGTTTATGTCAATGAAAACTATTTTTTCCCATTGTATATAATTAAAAAACAAAAGAAGTAAACAATATTAGGTTAAATATGTATAAACTTTCATTACAAAAAGTAAGTTATTTGCAATGGCCAAAATTTTCATAAATTATGTTTTTTCTTTTTAAATAGCAAACGATGTTTAGCAACAGACAATAGTTGCAACTCCTTTAATTGCAAATTGTATTACATCCCACAATCTTAAATATTTGCGATGCTAGGTTAAACTTTATTTCAAATCATCAAAACCACTTAAAGAGATACAGTATATAGTTTAACTGTTTAAGTCAACTATATTTAAGGCAAACATAAATCTCTTACATTATATTAGTTACTTTGTGTATGATGTAAAAAAGAAATTACTTCTTTCCTTAATATAGTATCATGAAAATAACATTATTTATAGTTACATATGATTGTAACTGTTAGAATATGTTATTTGCCACATTGAATAAAGGATAATGTTGATTTTTGTTTTTTTTAACTTTTGAATATTGAAAATTCATCTATTGTATCTTTGTAAATGGTCTAGAATAACTTGTAAATATCATAATTTTTGAAAACCCTTTTTAAGCATATTTTCTAGTAGCATAAGTACTTGTCATTTCCTTTAAACGTAAAGGTAACATTCTTTACTAAACTTTGCATTTTATCAACTAATATTATAAAGATTTATATTTTATCCGATTTAAGAGTTTTATGTATATTAATTGGTTTATTTTTAGATTATGAATTCATTTCAATAATATTTATTAATATTGTTTTAGATTATGAATTATATTTCAGTTTTGAACTTTTGCATATATATTTATGGTTATAACTTTCATTATCATTGAACAAAATTTCCAAAAATATTTTATATCAATCACAATTAGTATATATTTTTTTGAAATAACTCAATAAAAAAAACATATTTTACAGACATATTACACATAATATTAATAACTAAAACATTACATAACAATATAAAATTACTTAAAAATACATACATACACAAATTAAATTATAAAAGTATATAAAATATTAAATTACATAGCATTTTTTATAATGCTATGTAATCTGTTTTATATATGACTGTTTTATTTTATTTTAATTTTTTATATATGATGAATAATATTATTAAGATATATATTAAATATAATTGAAATATATAATTATATAGACTAAATAATTAAAAAGATTAATAAATTATTTGTGATTTCATATTTTTAATAAAAATATAGACTAGACTGTTTTCATTATGTGATGGTAAAAAAAATTTATGGTCGTAAATTTTGATTTCCTTTTTTTTTGACAAAATATATTCTATTTTTGCTATTACTCCTTTCATTTTGAAATTTTGATTTTTAATTTTGTACAGATATTAAGAAAATTGTTAATTTATTTTTAAGTTACTTTTTGTTTATTTTTTAATTTAATATTGATTTTTCACATTTTTATCTAGAAAGGAGTATGTACTAGGACTATTTTATTTTGTTTCGTGTATTTGTGGGAATCAAAAGGTCTTTTTAAAACATTTATTTGTATCTTATCTTTGTAATCCTTTAAATATTAAACACTGTTTTGTGTTTGCTTTACATTCATTTCTTTCCTTTTACATTTCCCAAAGTCTTCGTCACAATTATAGCTACCCAACTAAATTATTCCCATTTGCAACACAATTCATTTTGGGAACTTTGGTTTGCAAGAATAAATAAAAATTCTGTAAGAAGATGAACAATTTTTGTCGAAACGTTACAGTCACCCAAAATATTAACAGACAAATTGTTTTCGAAAAACAGATCAAAGTTAAAGTTTCGCTGTAATAGCTTAAATTTTAAAATAAGGAAAATGTATCCAGCCTACCAAATTAGTTTTAAAGAGTAAACAGGTCAATTTTAAAATCAGTTTTTAGTTGCTCTTTTCATTTCACTTTTTTTTAGCTTTGATTAGCTATAACAAATTCTAAATTAATTTAGTTTTATCTTATTCTCTATGAAAGGTATGAAACAAAAAAAAATAATTAAATTAAAGAAACAGGAAGCAATCATATATATCGTTAAATTATTTTAAACACAGTTTAAATTGGGACCACGAAGCATTGAGTCATTGACCAATAGAAATGCACATCTAAGTCGAAAACAATACGATTAATTAAGTAATCTGGAGTTTAGATAAGATCGAACCATTAATCAATCGTTAAATAAGTCTTTTCTGTAAATTAAAAAAATAATAGTGATGTGCTCGATGTGCATTTTCCTCCGCGACTTATTTTATATATTTTTTAATAAAGAAATATATCACCGTATTTATTTATATCAAGAATAGACACAAAATTGATTTCACATTACTTTTATATGTGATTTTTATTTTCATTTATAATTGCGGTCGGCATTCTTTCTGACCTAACTTCTTTTCCTTATACAGCTCACGGGGGGGGGGGGGGGGGGGGGGGGGGGGTAATATGCATAATTCAAGAGGTTAAAAAAATACTACAAAATGTATATTTTTTTAACACTTACTAAAGACCAGTAAAATTAAAGATTTAAATGATTTGTCAAAAGAAATAAAGGGTTTCCCTATGTAACTTGTTCTTAGTACTCAGGTATTTTACTCTAACTTACAAATCCAAATCCTGAAAACTTAAATTGGATGGAATCAGTGAATTTGATTTCTTACAGAATTTTATTCCAAAGATTAAACCTTTTAATTATATGGGAAAAAGACATGCAACAATAAATGTAATACGTTACATGTGTTTCTCTTCTCTTTTTTTCTCTAAGTCTGTCAGGAAATTAATCATTTTCTATTCATTTTTAATTTTACATTATATATTTTTTTAATGCACCCATTTCACATTATATATTTATTAATCTGTAAACCCATTGTTGAGCACAAAAAAATGTAACCCCTTATTTTTTTATCCGTGTGAATATGGTAGTCATACCGCGAAAAAGAAAATACCTTAAAAAATATTATAATTATTATTAGATGGTGGTAGTGATGATGTCGCATGTTCATTTCTGGTGAAACTGTATTGATTAATAGCAATCAATATTAAATATTCATAGCATATTTTGTTTTACTAAAAAATAACTTATCATCGCATATTGACAATATTTGGAAATTGCAATACCCATCATGTGAACCTTTTATACAAAATAATAGAACCATTGGCGTGCTTTAAGGAAATATATAATTAATTATTATTACTTCCAATTACACGAGTAAAGAATCCCCCATTTTATTATTTTTCAACTTTATTAGGTTTTCCAATGAATCATGTCTTTCAAAACCTTCATTGGGAAGTAGGAACTACACCCTTTGCATTTTTTATTATTTTTCTAAGCATTATATTATGTTTAGACCACCTCCAATGGATTTAAACTCAATTTCTAAACAATAAAAAAATCAAAAAAAATTTAAAAGAAAAGATATGAAAGAGAGCAAACTCTCGTTTAAGACTTTTTAGAAACTGTTTCTAGCCACTTATCATCATCTGATTAGTTTGCATCTTAAAAATAAAATAAAATTGAATTAAATAATATTATTATATTAAAATATTATTAAATTAAAGATAAGAAGTTTATTTTTAGAAGTTCACTATTGGTGATGTTCTTACTTCTCAAAATATTTGAAGTTATTTTACAAAAATGTGTTACACTATTTTCAACCCCAAAAAAATGTGTCATGCTTGGCATTGATTTGAAAAAGAAAAAAAATTGCAAATTTATTATACATAGGCCGACATTCTATGTATTTTTATACCAAAATATGTATTTTCTATTTTAGAGAGTAAATTAAAGAGTACTTTCGGATCTTTAAAAAATATTTATCCTTGGATCTTGTGGTATATCTGGAAAACACGTAATGAAAAAGTTTTTAATAATAAAATAGTGCATTTGTGGGAGACTTTTCAACTAGCTTACTTTGAGGCGGAAAGTTGGAAAATAGCACAACAAAAGGAGTAAGAAGAAGAGACCCCCTCATCGTCAAGCATCCTGAGCACCAACCT